CCGTGTCCTTTTTTAGGCCACACATGGTATAACAATACTGGATATTGGCTAAAGTGACCCTAACGTTCTCTTGTTTTGCTAAGGCTATGATGCCATTAATAACTCGGTAGGAGTTGATAGCGAGCTGCATTGGGTTTAACTTGTAATAATGGATAATCTTGCGAAAAAAGAATGTTGAGTGGGAGCCGAAGTCCACACTCAATGAAAGCTACGACATGAAGAGGCATGGAATCAGCTGTGGGCATAATAGAATCGTCCTCCCCAGCCAACCTTAGATGGACATCGGCAGGAATTTCAAACTCTGTCCTAAAGTGATCTAATTTGGTTGGGGTGTCTACCCTATGCTTCAACATACCCATAATGTTGGCCTGAATTAGAAGAGTTGGATTTCAGAAAGAAAGGGGTTTTGAAGGGTTTTAGGGACCTCGGCTAAAGCTTAAAATCTATGGGGAATCATTTCAATTTTCCTTAAGAAGACTGTCTTAAGTTCTACAAACAAGTCCCAAACCTAGATCTATGGAAGCAAAGATCAAAGGCACGAATTTGGAAAAGACACAGAAAAACAGAAAACAAAAGTGCGTTTCAGAATCAAGAACAAGGGTGAACTACCAAGAACATTGTGACAAAAGTGTGTGAAAGGGCATAAAGGCAAGAACAATGGCCAAAGTGCAAACAATGTTGTGAACAGTGCGTGTATTTAAGACATGGGCAAAGGACAAGATCGTGAAATAGAAGCACACTCAGATATATGATTCACAAATCGAATGTTTAAGCAAAGTAGTAATAGCGACAAGTTCAAGAAGAAATCAAGAAACTGAAATGCGAAGGAATAATGGCTTACCAGAAAAAAAATGAAGCCGGTGTGAGGATCGCCGAAATCAGGTGACGGTCGTGAAGGCAACGGAGCAGTGAAAAACCCGCCGGAAGGGATGAACGGAACGAGTTGCGGAGCAAAGAGAGCTTGAACAATGGAGGATTTGGAGAGAAAAGCTTTAGATGCAAGCGTAAAGAGTAAAGAGATAGAGAGAGAAGAAACAAATTTTGTTAAAAATTGGAAACGGCGGCAAAAAGGCCATCAATGCGCCTAGGAGGACGGTTTTGTCAGACGGCGCACGCAGGCGCGAGACAGTTTTTAGGCGCGTCGCAGGTGCGATCCAATATAGGAAAGACGCGTGTCGTAAACGGTTGAATTATTGTATGACAGCTCATACGCGTGAAAGGGTTCTTGAAATTCTTGTTCTTTAACGAAGACATGTCGGCCAACATAATGATCTCGGCTGAGATACTGTAAACCGACGCACTGGAAGGAAGTACCTACATATAGGTTCCATCACCTCAGAATACCGAGGTAATAGAACCTAGGGGGCAGTTGTGGGGATATATTTTCAAGATATCAACATGTGGCAAGGGTGATGCCGACGTTTCAGCCGAGGTGCCACGTGTCTTGACCGAGACGATCTCGGCTAGGCCGAGGTTATCTCCGAAGATATCGGAGTCCGGGATAAGCAGATAGGGGACAAGAGTCCTAGCATAGAAGAAGACTCCAGTTTGGATAAAGATAAGGCTCTTAGAGAGTTTTATCCCTATCCTACTAGGAGTCCAAGATTAATAGTAATCCTAAGTCCATTAGAGCTAGGCTCCTGTTGGGACAAGGATTGAGTTAGCTATAAAAGAGAGGCACCCCGTGGGTCTAAGGTACGCAATTTATATTCTGAACAGTGAGATTTGCACTATTGATTATCTTTGAGAGATTTACTGACTTGATCGTCGGAGTACCTCCAGGTGGACGAACCACCGCCGGAATCTTCTCTTTCTGTTGCAGGTCAGCCAGGTGTCATCTATTCTGCCAGTGTTCTCCAGCTGAATACTAAGTTGGACAGTGTGATCGAAAAATCACTCACACATTGAGTATTTACCGTAGTTAACAAATTATGTATATATATATATATATATTTAAACGGTCCGGTTCGATTTCAAACAGATTTGTAAGTATAAAATTCCGAACCAAACTATGAAGTACGGTTCGCCTATTTTAAGAATAAAAACCGATCTGTGTAGTGAGAAAATCAAATCAAACCGAGCAATTTAATCTAGATCGGGCCAATTTATGATTTTTTTTAATTTTTTTGCTCAGCCCTAGTTAGATTAGAGCATGTACATAGGTTAGACCTTGTTTCAGGATTGAATATGTCGTATTTCATTGTAAACGGTGAAAGCATGGATCGTAAACTTACGAAAATCAAATCTGCAGGTCAATTCCCTTATACCACTGAAAAATAAATTACTCCCATTTCGTGCGGAAAAAAAAAAAAAAATCATAAAATATTTCTAACAAAAATATTTTAGGCTAAAAAAAAGGAGCCTAGGTGTCGGTTTGTCAAAAAAAAAAAAGAAAGAAGAGTTTTAATCATGATAAGAGGTCTATACGGACCAAAATAATACATTTTAACCATTCAAATAGATCCACACTCGATGAAAGCTACGACAGGAAGAGGCATGGAATCAGCTGTGGGCATAATAGAATCGTCCTCCCCAGCCAGCCTTAGATGGACATCGGCAGGGATTTCAAACTCTGTCCTAAAGTGATCTAATTTAATGCCACGTAAATCCTTATTTTCAAATTGCACTACAAAAAAGCACCACAAAGGATTTGGACTAAAAAAAATAAAAAATAAAAAATAAAATAAATTGAATGAGCTGAGGTAATTTATCGTCTAACTTTCATTTACAAGTGATTTTTGTTTTTGTTTAGTATTTAAAAAAAATGTAGAAGCATTTACTTTTTGTTTAATAAATATTCAAATATGTTTCCTTTATTTTTTTTTCTTCACGTATAAATTGTTATTATTGTTCATGACATTCCTTTTAAATTATGACTTTGTAATTCCCACGGCCAGGAATGTTAATGGTCAGTTTGGTTCAGTTTGATATTAAATTTAGAACTAATTTAATTATGATTAGTTCCAAATTTTTGGATTTAAAATCAAATCAATCATGCATTAGATCCAACCCAACCCAACCCAACCCAACCCAACCTAATGTAACTTGGGTTGTTTGGGTTAGAATCACGATTTTACTGTGTTAAAAATAAGTGAATCAATCAATAATAAATAATTAAAATAAATAAGTTTTTAACTTCCAAACAAAACACAAAAAAGAGGAAAATATTGTTTAATGCAAGCCAATACAAATTAAATCTAACTCAAGCTTAAACATAAGGAATACAATTTAAATCTATTAATATAACTAATAAATCAACTGCGACATTTAACTCAAGTTTCTAATACTTTCTTTGTTCAACTAATAATTCTTGTATGTGATAAATTATTAGGTGCAACCAAATCTTTTGTAATAGACCAATTAAGTACATATCAATATAAATAAAAGCGAAAAAATATACATATGTTTGGTTCGTGGGTAGATTCAGTTATGTATGTCTAAATCAAGAACCAATACAATAATGATTTGAAGATTCGAAATCAAACAAACCCATATCTAAAAAATCAATTTAGCTTGATTCTTCGATTTACTAAGTAATTTGAACACGTCTACGGCCATGTCAACTCGTGCAACGATTACAGATGAAAGTGCATTGTTAGAGTATTTAAAATCCTTATTTTCTTCTCTTGTTTTTTCATTAAATTTTTAATTAGAAGTTTGATTTGGTAAAAAAATTGAATCCTCCAATCCGCATTTAGTTAAAAATTTCAAGTTTATCCCCAAAAATTTATTTCATGAAACTTTGTGGAAATTTTTTTTGTCTTGATTTGATGAAAAAATTGATAAAAACTAGATTTGATACAAATTTAATGAAATGAATAGAGATCATTTTCATGAAATTTAAATTCGGTAGTGTTACATGTACCAATTAGTAAACTAACTGGTGTACCAACACCAGTTATGATGTTATTATTAACTCCACTAATTATATAAATTATAAATACCAAAAATCTCTTAAATTATGCCACATCATCAATTGGTACACTAAGTAGTATACTAATTGGTGTATATAGCATTATTCATTTAAATTTGATAAAGGATTAAAGATGTTCTTGTATGTGTAAATTTATTGAAATAGTATTATCCTTTCCTTTTATTTTAAATCTATCTATATATATACACATGTATGTAATATAGGATTTGACCCACTCTGGATCATTGACTGGAGGGATTGTCTGGATTCGTGAAACCTACTACGGGTTTTATTTCAATGATTTAGACTATTAATTTTGTAGGATTCTTCGTGTATATCATTTATAAAAAAAATCGATCCAATATTTGTATCTTATTTAATTTATTGCATTTGTTATAAAAAAAATGGATGTTTATTTTTAAAAACACACTAGTTGTCCATTTGTTTAGAAACAAATATGATAAATTAAATAGGTTAAAATTATCGGATCAACTTTTTTTTTGAATTATATAGACGAATGTTTGACAAAAAGAACAGTTCAATTCAGATTATTGAAATATGACCTGTGATGAGCCTCACAAACTCAATAATATCCTCTAATCCAAATTATGGACCGAAACGGACGCAGTCCTATAATATATCACTTGCAAATTTACATACCTCCCCTTTGCCACCATCACTTCCCCATCATCCAAGACCCTCACTTGCAATGCCCAATCCCTCTCTATACTACCTATCATGCCACGTTCGCCCCATTGCCCACCCGTGTCATTGGACTCGCAATGGCAAAACATTTTTGTTACAAACAACTGGATTTGAAGTTGATGGTAGAGGTGGAACTATTGAGGGGGCTGATGGGTGGGTGGGGGCTTGGCATCCCAAATTTAAATATGTATATATACATATAAGTATGGAAATTTTAAAACTACAACAATTTCTTTACTAAACATCTGCAAACTTAATTATTACATAAACATTAACACATACATGGAGCCCTACGATTAATATGCTATTCCAAAATAATAATAATAATAATAATAATAATAATAAATAAATAAATAAATAAATAAACTATTCACTAGGAAACATATGAAAAAAACAAAATTTTACAAACACAAAATGAATCGCAGAACCACCTACTAAAAAATACGAAAAACCAGAGCAATATAAGTGTAGTCGTCTCGCCCGTGATAGACCCTACTATTTGATATGTTTGATCAATTCTTTTAACGACCAACTGGGGCCAGGAGCTCAGAAAATTCAACTCCGGGTGTTGGATCTGAATTTCCAATGCCAACGTCAATGGTCACAAAAGTCTCACTTGTAGTTCTATCACTCGTCTCAAAACACATTTTTTCCTCCACTGCATTAGCTTCGTGTTGTTGTCGTGCTAATTCCAAGCGCCATAGCACATCACCCATCGTGGGTCGTTCACTTCCCTTGTCTGATAAACACTTCTTTGCTACTTCTGTGAATGTTTTGAAACATTCTGGGTCAATCTTTCCCCTCAAAAATGGGTCCATGATCTGATGAAGGGTCCCTAGTTGATGACAATGCAAAGCCCACTCAGCCAAGCTGATTTGTTCCAACTTCTCTTCCTCCTCTTCCGCCACCATTGGTAAGATTGCTGGTCTAGCACACAATACTTCCATCAATACTACACCAAAAGAGTACACATCAGACTTTTCTGTCAACTTTTGACGACGGTAGTATTCTGGATCCATGTACCCGAAACTACCCTTCACTGCAGTGCTAACATGAGTGCGAGACATGAAGTTAGGCCCAAATTTGGACAACCCAAAATCTGAAACCTTGGCTACCCATTTCTCATCTAAGAGAATGTTTGTTGTCTTCACATCGCGGTGAATAATGGTTTGCTTTGAATCAGCATGAAGGTACTGTAAGCCCCGTGCAGCACCAATGCAAATCTGGAGTCTTTGTCTCCACGGAAGTGGGGGCTTCTCGGTATTATATAGGTGATCACGTAAGGTACCCCGGGCCATGAAGTCATATACAAGTATCATCTCTTCTCCATCAATGCAATACCCAATCAGAGAGACAAGGTGACCGTGCTTGAGTTTTGATAAAATTGTGATCTCAGTCTGGAACTCGTGTAGACCTTGATGCGAGGTTGGACTCCCACGTTTTATCGCGACAAAGGTGGCACCATCGTTGATGTGTCCCTTATAGACCTTGCCAAATCCACCAACACCAATTAAATTAGCATTAGAGAAGTTATTTGTAGCTGCTTTAATCTCAACAAGTGTGAAATAACGACAGTGATCTGATGATGCCAATTGCTTAAAGGCTTTCCTTTGTCGATTCGAGTGAACTCGTAAAAGAGAAACCACTAGTAATGAGCACCATCTGATTGGCAACTGCGACATAGCATACCATAGACACGGTAAGTGAAAAATACCATATAACAACACAGCTAGAATTAATACTATATTTAAATCATTATTCGATAATCTCTTTGACAATGCTTTATTTCCAAATGGAAAAGGCCCTGCTAGATTGTAGGCATGGTCTGATAGCTTGAAGATTTCCAAGCCATTTAAGATTGGACCATTCAACCTTTTTGTGCTCTGTAATGCCAAGGACAAGAACAACTTCTTTTGGCTATATCCTGTAAAATTAACAATGTAATCTCTGTACACTGGAATGCCAACTCCACCACTCCAATATATCACGTCAGCATGATTCTCAGCAGTTTGCCCATCTAAATAAACTTGAAAAACCCTTTGATTGGCATGCCAAATATCCCTTACAACCTCGCAAAAATGGAGCCTAACAAGGTAACAAAAACTGCCATCAAGAGGAAAGTGCCATGTCAGATTGTAATACTCATTGGGCTTCGTGGTTCTAGCTGTGGAATAGAGTGTCAGTGGCGCTGTGTATGCTGGTACTGACAAACTATACCTGACATTAACTTCTGGGTCAATGATATGAGAATGATCAGTGGCTTGATTAATTAGGTACGGACTATCCTCTGACCAAACTCGTGACATTCCTGTATCATCTTCAGCGTTGATTGAATGACCGCCAATATTCAGCCTGTACATCATTTCAAGGGATGTAGAATTCCTAGTGAGGAACTTGGAATGATGCCCAATGAGGGGCAATGAAACACCACCTCCGTGGACATAATAGAGGTCTTGGGGCATTGAAACTATCTCAATCTTGTTCACAAATCCATAGGCACCAGGGGAGTTTCTTGATGGAGTGAAAGTTATGTTAATCACCAAATCATCCACGTTGATACAAAATACTTTGATGATATATTCAGTATTAGATGGATCGCTAGAATAAGAGGACCTCGAAGTACGTAGAAGAGTGTAATGGGCTACGCTAACAGAGAACAAAGCTTTGGACATGCTCAGATCTTCATAGCTTGCTGGATAGAAGTAAAGTCGTACGAAATACATGCCGACACTAGGGACTGAAAATGGGACACTGGACTGCTTTTGGAAGATGCAGGCATATAATAGTCTAGGGGATGTAGGATCACCTGAATTTCGGACAGAGGCTCTGATGTTGTGGGGAATCCATTGATTGCCATTAGGTAAAGAAGTTGCAGCTATTGGAGTGTGACATTCGGCGACGAAGGTATAAGCTTGAATGTAAGGTGATTGTTGGGCCAAGACGGATACTGTTGAATGGCCAATGTGCATCAGAACAAGAAAAATGACAATTGAGATAAACAGATCTCTGTTTAAACCATCATTCCACTTCATGTTATCTATATGGCTAATTTGGGTGTAGAGAATGTGTTATGGGTTTTCAAACTTTTTGTTGCATATTCATGCAAATAGGATGAAAGTTGGGTTTCCATATTTAAAGAGGACTAAAATCATTAATTTCTTTAATTGACTATTATTATATTGTTGAGCACCTTTTCTTCATAAGGTGGCTAAACATGTGGAAACATTTTTATTATCGGGTATGTGGTGAGATTTGAACATACGATTGTATTATTTACTCTAATAATATATTAAATTGTTGACCATTAACTCATTTAAAAATTTAAACTGTTAAAATAAAAAATAATTTTATTATTGATATTATATTCTCAATGGTTATGAGGTGAGAAAGTTTGAAAATTCATCAAAAATGGACAGCTCAAGTGGCCATTATAGTCCCTCCTTGCGAGATTGTGGTTCAACTGAAATTTTGAAAATTCAACAACAATGGATAACCCAAGCGGTCGTTATCCTGCCTGTGGTCCAATGTTTGAAAAAAGAGCTAATCACAGAGACCCTATAAAGAGTTAAGGCTCCAGGTAGCCTTAGAGAAAGGAGAACCTGAGAACTTATGTTTCAAATCTTACCAAAATGTCACACCCCTTGAGCTATGGTTCGCTGTTTGAATAGTATACTTAAAAGACATATTTGACTTGCCGTTCAATGTTTGAAAATAGGGTCTTGCCTCCAATTCATTTTGTGGACCGGATAGTATTTTGGGCTCGTGGGACCCATTATGGGTCATATTTCGATAATTTGAACCGTCCAATGTGTAGAACTCGTTGAATACTTTATTTTCATAAAACATCACGTTGATCAGATATTAATAGCTACTTGATCGGATCAAATTTTTGTCAATAATTTATTTTAAAAATTATATTTACCGTTGATAGAAATCTAATCAAATCAAGTAACTATCGATATCTGATCAATGTAATTTTTTACAAAGATAAAGTACTCAACAAGTTCTACACATTAACAATTTGGATTATCAAAACAAAACCTGTAATGAACTTTTATAAATTCAACAATACACTTCAATCCCATCTCAAATCGAGAGAAGCCTGGCCTTTGAAAATAAACCTTTAAGGACAAATTTGAGGAGAAGGCAAAAGTTAATGAAGCGTGACTTTCAATGGAAGAAAAATAATTATTTTAGACATATTAGACTTGCGTTTCAATGTCTGAATATCATACTTAAGGACAAATTTGACGAGAAGGCAAAAGTTAATGTAGTGTAACTTTCTAGTGGAAGAAACATAATTATTTTAGTAAAAATGTTACATATAATCGTGTTTTTTTTTATCATTTTTATTTTTAAATATAAATATGTGAATCTTATGTGGTATGACATATAACCTATCATTTTTATTTTTAAATATAAATATGTGAATCTTATTCATCAAAAAAAAGAAGTGGATATCCATCGGGCATCACTGATACAATTTTACACATTCATGTTGCACAGTACAGTGGTTATATGACATTCAACAGTCATCAAGCAATTTTACACATTCATGTCGCACAGTGACAGTGGTAATATGACATTCAACAGCCATCAAGCATATTTGCTAATTAAAACAATCTGGATACAGATAAAAGTTGCGGAAACCTTTCTTATGACATGATCAGTAATCTTTAGATAAACATTAACACAGTATTTGCTTACTTATTCATGTGAAGAGACGCAAAAGAAGAAAACAAGAGAAGCAAGGAGCCTAAGAATTTCATAAGTTTGATAATGGAGATGAAACGAAGAGAAAGGTCGAGATGAAAAAACTGGAATCACCCAGATCATATCCTTCCTATTCTTTTTTATACCACTTCTCTTTTTTAAGAGTGTTATGGTGTGTTTGGTTGGGGGATTTGGAGAGGGATTTAGAAAGGAAAATGGAAAAGGTAGGTGAAATGTGAATAAAACATACTTATATTTCACATAGTTTCACACACCTTTTCCCTTTCCCTTTCTAAATCTCTTCCCAAATCTCCCAACCAAACACAGCATTAAGAACATGATTTCAGGAGTCAAACTTGAGTCACTGTAGAGAAAGTGTGGCCCACTCGCCCCCAAATGGACACCCAGAACACTGTTACTTCTATGTAGTTGCTGTAGTGTTTGTAATTCTCTTCAATCTTGAGGTGACAGTTTTTTGGGCCAGGAGAGAGATTTTCTTTCCAAATCACAAGAGTTCTCTTTCTTGCTCTCTACTTGGCTAAACCACACCAAAAAAGGAAAGAAATTTTGAGGTTTCGTTTGGTAGAGTTTTTTAAATATGATTTGAGAGTATGAGTTATATTTTGAGTTTGTGAGCTTTGAAATTATGATTTGAGTATGAAAAATTTGTTTGATAAAAGAGTTCTGAATTTTTGATGTCACATATGATATTTGATACAAAAACTTATAACTCATAACCAAACATACAACTCAAAATTCTATTAAAGCACATAAAAAATTCGAAAAATATTTTTTTCGAATATATAAAAATTAACATATGTCAATTGTAAAAAAAAATAAAAATTGCACTGTTCCGGTCAACCAGCCGAACGACCGGTTTGGCCAAATTTGAAAAAAAAAATAAATTGAAAATCGCGCCTTACACAGAATTTTCTAAAAGTTGTGGAAATGTAATTTGAACATCTTATCTAAACATCATATTGGAATATGGGGGTAAAATCATAATTTGAAAATCGTTCCAAACAAAGCCAAATATTTTCTCTTATCTTTTCTCTTCTCCTCTTCCCACCAAGAAATATGTAAGTTCCGTCATTAGTGTATGTATGCATATGCCAAGAAAGCCAAATTTCTCTAGTAACTTTGAGCCTTGCTTCATAGGGTACAAGAGTGCAAAAACTTGGTGATAAACTAACTTTCACATTAGTGCAGCTCATAAATTATTAATCCATTTTTCACAAAAACATAATTTTTTTTTATCAGTGACAGAAGAAATAACATTACTTACAAAGAAGAAGTACGAGATGAGGAAGAAGTCCTCTTGAAATGAAAATAGAACAACACCAAGCCTAACAAATAGACAAACTATACACATCACAAATAGCTCTCCAATCTCTAGATATCAAAAATCTCAAAACCCCATTGAATTCTGATGAAACGGAGGCCCAAAATGATGCCAAATAACACATTCTATCCCACAATGACTCCATATGAAACTTTTTTTACCTTTTTTTCATCAGAAACAAATATACATATATATATATATATTGTGGGGATATATTTTCTGAGTACCAACACGTGGCAAGGTGACGCCGACGTGTCAGCCGAGGTGCCACGTGCCCTGGTCATGACGCCGAGGTGATCTCGGCAAGGCCGAGGTTATCTCCGAAGATATCGAAATCTGAGATAAGTGGATAAAGGACAAGAGTCCTAGAATAAAGAGGGAACTCAACCTAGATATGGACAAGAGTCCTAGAATGAGAGAAGACTTCAGTTTGTATTAAGATAAGGCTTTTAGAGAGTTTATCCTAATCTTACTAGGAGTCCAAGATTAGCAGTAATCCTGAGTCCATAGAAGTTAGGCTTCTATTGGGACTAGGATTGTATTGGCTATAAAAGAGAGGCACCCCCATAAGTCTAAGGTATGCTTTTGATACTCAAGCTTGTGAGTTTAGCACTTGATTTATCTTTGAGAGATATACTGACTTGATCGTCGGAGTGCCTCCGGGTGGACGAACCACCGCCGGAATCTTCTCTTTCTGTTGCAGGTCAGCCAGGTGCCATCTATTCTGCCGTGCTCTCTAGCTGGTTACTAAGCGGGCAGTGTGGTCGGAAAATCACCCACACAATTATTATTTTCAAAAAAAAAAATAATCATAACTATTCGTGTAGGTGGCGGTGATATAAAACTGTAAAAAAAAAATGCATGCAACATTTTTTTTTTTATAAAAATAATGAGTCTTTGGATAAAAATGAGGATTATAATAAGTCGTCCCATTCTATACGTTAAGTTTATATACTCCATCCGTCTCATTCTGTTGATTTATTATTTCATTTTAAGATATTCCAAAATGATAAGTCTTATTTAAAAAGTCAAAATAAAAAATATTTGATTCCGTTTAGTTTAATTTTCAAATTAACTTTTGAATTGAAAAATAAAAAAAATATATTTGGTTTAATCAAATCTCTCCTCTCTCATCTCACATTCTACACATCGTTCAATTAAATTTCCTCTCATGCCCATCTATTCAATTATATTAAAAAAAAAAACCTACAAATCATCTCATCGGTAGGGGGAGAATTGTTGGGTATACCTCCTTATTGGAGTGTGGGACCCAATTGGTTTGTTAAAGAATTTTAATTTGGTTTGGTTTAGGTATAATATATTTTATATATTATATCTAATTTGTGGAGACCCAATTCAGTTTGATAACAATTAGAATTTTGATAAAACAAATCTAAAATTTAACAATACATATATATATATATATATATTGTTTTGTGTGTTTTTTCGGAGTGGAGCTGAAGCAGTGGCTTAATATTGATATTGATTGAATCAATTCGGTGGGGTCACACTTGGGTGAGTGAGAAGTGCTACTTTTCTGCTCCTGTGTGTGGAAGTTTGGAGCAAGGATCCTCTAGAGTGATTTTTCTCTAAAGTTTCTTAGAATGCTACATTGTGTGGTTGAGATTTACTGGCAAGTCACATCAGATTCTGATGTGACTTGCCAGTAAATCTCAACCACACAATGTAGCACTCTAGGAAACTTTAGGAAAATTTTACTCTAGAGGATCCTTGGTGGGAAGTTTGTTGCTTCGGTTTTGTGGCTTAATATTGATATTGATTGAATCAATTCGGTGGAGTCACACTTGGGTGAGTGAGAAGTGCTACTTTTCTGCTCCTGTGTGTGGAAGTTTGTTGCTTCGGCTTTTTGATCTTGTGAATACGTGTGCATTTTGATTGTTTTGGTGAAGTTGATTTGGTTCGTTATTTTGGGTTTTCTTCAACTTTGGTTCTGAAGATTTTGGTTCTTTTATTTGGTGAGGTTTTTCCTCTTTGTTTATTTGTGATTATTTGGAAT